AGGCGACGGGCGGCGGCCATGAGGAGGCCGAACCTGCTGATCACCGGTGGGCACCGGGGGGGCACCGCGGGGCACGGCACGGCACAGCACGGCCCACACCGCAGACCGGGCTGCTGTGGGGTCCAGGCCCGGGGTGATGTGGGGTGTGAGGTCCAGGCCTGGGCTCACTGGGGACCTCTGGCCTTGGCCCAGCCCGAGGTGATTCGAGGTGGGGTCCCAGCATGGAGGGATTTGGGGTTTGTGACCCCGGCCCCATCACAGCCCGGGGTGGTTTAGGTTGTGAGGCAGCAGCCTGGCTGATCTGGGGTGTGCGGTCCCAGGGCGGGGAGGTTTTGCAGCTCCACTCCTTCATGAGAACGTGGGCTCCCCTGTGTCACCTGCGGGTTTTCAAATGTATGGAGATTGCCCTTCGAACCCTCGCGGTGTGAATGACTTTCCTGCACACAGTCAGAGTTCTCCCCCTGTTTTCCTGTTTCGCTCTCCTCCCGTTTCTCTTTGTCCTGCACCTCTTTGTCCCTTTTTCATCCCGTGACCTCTGCAGTGTGGGCTTTCAAAAGGTTCCAGTTCCCCTGGTGAGGGGTGTTGGAGGGGACCTGCGAGCTGTGCCCTTACCTTGTGCTGTGGGTTTGGTCTCCAGGCACGCCGGGAGTTGGGAAAACCACGCTGGGAAAGGAGCTGGCATCCAGAGCTGGGCTGAGCTACATCAACGTGGGGGACCTGGCCAAGGAAGGTGCTGTGTCACAGCAGTCCCCTGAGCACGGGGACATGCTCGTGTGGCCCTGCTGGGGGTGTCTGGTGCACTGGGAGTCCCTGCACACCTGTCTGGGACAGCTGGGGGACTCACCTGGGCAGGAGAAGGCTCTGGAAGAGCTCAGAGCCCCTTCCAGGGCCTGAAGGGGCTTCACGAGAGCTGGAGAGGGACTGGGGACAAGGGATGGAGGGACAGGAGCCAGGGAATGGCTGCCAGTGGCAGAGGGCAGGGCTGGATGGGATCTTGGGCAGCAATTGTTCCCTGGCAGGGTGGGCAGGCCCTGGCACAGGGTGCCCAGAGCAGCTGGGGCTGCCCCTGGATCCCTGGCAGTGCCCAAGGCCAGGCTGGACATTGGGGCTGGCAGCTCCTGGGACACTGCGAGCTGGCCCTGCCGTGCCTGGGGTGGCACTGGGGGGCCTTTGAGGCTCCTTCCAATCCAAACTATTCCAGGATTCTGTGTATTAAATCAATTTCCTTCAGTAGGCATGTCTGTAGCAGCATACCTGGTGCAAAGTAATAAATAACAAAGTTACCCTTACATGGATTTGTAAACACTTCCATGCCATGTTCCCTGCCCTGAACTCTGCCTTTTGCCTGCGATCTCCTGAGACAAACACAACAGTGTAAATTAATTGTGGTAAATGAATTGTGGTAACTCCTCTGCCACCCACCAACCGTCCGGGGCTCTGTGTGCTGCAGGAGAGCTGTATGAAGGCTTTGATGAGGAATACGAGTGCCCCATTTTGGATGAAGACAGGGTAAGTGCGGCCCCAGGCCCTCCCCGCTGTGCTCTGGCTGTGCAGTGCCAGGGGAGCCTGCCCTCGGTGTCGCTGTGCAGGTGATCGATGAGCTGGAGGACAGGATGAGCGAGGGAGGGGTGATTGTGGATTACCACGGCTGTGACTTCTTCCCCGAGCGCTGGTTCCACATCGTCTTTGTGCTTCGCACGGACAACTCCTGCCTGTACGACAGGCTGGAGAGCAGGTGTGCCACTGGGGTGGGCAGCCAGCAAGGGGCTGCTGTGGGGCTTTCCGAGGGCAGAAATCACTGAGCCTCAAACAAACACCGCTGCTTGCTCTGTGCCTCAGACTGTCTCTTGGTGCTCTTGTTCTCTAGGGGCTACACGGGGAAGAAGCTGCAGGACAACATTCAGTGTGAAATTTTTCAGACTCTGTATGAGGAAGCTGTGTTGTCATATAAAAGGGAAATTGTACACCAATTACCCAGCAACACTCCAGAGGACCTAGAGAGAAATTTGGATCAGATTATGCAATGGATTGAGCAATGGATGAAGGACAACAACTGACTTTTGGTGAAGCAGTAACTGCTGGATCTCTTCTTGGGAGGGAGGGTTTAATAAATTATATTCATAATTATTGTATTATAAATGAACGTGAGTTTTGCTGTAGCTGTCTGGGGGGGTGGAGGAAAGTTCAGAGGAGCCAGCTTGTGATGATTTATAACAGCACCCTGAGAAGCAGCAGAACTGATACAAGTGACTGAAAGGATGGAAATGAGGCGATTGCCCTGAGTAGCAGGAGTTGTGTTCAGTAACTGAGAATTCTTTGGACCTTAAAATTAAAAGCAAACCATGAATTCCCTGTAAGAAAACTGTAAAATCCTGATAACAAGTGGCAGTTGAGGCAAATTTGATTTCCAGAGGGTGGAACAGTATCCAGGAAAGGAGTTTGTTTTATGTTGAGTTGTGAGACTGAAACCTGCAGTGCTCCACTGTGAGGGTAATGCAGAGTGAGAGAGTTTGGTACAGGGTAAGGTGAGTCCTTTGCTTTGGAGGGAAAAGAAGTGATGTGAGAGTTATTTTAAAATGATTGCACAGAGATTTGGAGGTTTGTTCCTGTGTAAGGAAACACTGGGTTATGTGAGCACTGGCCTGGAGTGTTTAACAATAAACTTTATTTTTCCTTTTTTCCCTGTCTTCCCATCTCCTGTCCCAGTTATGGAATGTATGCATCTCTGCAAGATTACCCAGGAAATGCTTCACTTGTCAGGCTGGACTTGCAGTGGTCCAAAACGTGGTCACAGATAATAAAACACTGTCGGGGATCTGTTCTGATTGCTGTTAAAGCCTGGGCCCCAGGGGGGCAGGGCTGCACAAGGAAGAGAAAACCTTTCTTGTTTTGTTTGCTTGGAAAGACAGCCTTGTGAGGGACTGTAGGGAGTGCTTGCTTATAAGCCTTTTACATACATGAGTTTGTACAATAAAACAACTTTATTGAAAATTTCTCTTGTGAAGAGTGTTGTTGTTACGCGTTTTAACTTTTTTATTCCAGATTTGCTATTGGGTTGATTTTTTGGGTTTGTTTTTTTTTTTTTTTTTCGGTGGCACTTTCAGAGCAGCACCGCGACAGAACTCTGATGATATTATAAAGCAAAGCGGTGAAAAGCAGCGTGTTTATTGGGAGGGTTGTGCCCAGGCACTGTGTGGGCTCGGGCAGAGCCGGGCCGGGCTGGAGGGTGCTGTGGGGTGCGGGGACAGCCCCGCAGCACTGGCAGCGACACGCCCGCTCCCCTCCGGCCGCTGGGGCCGGGGCAAACCGAGCGAGCCAAAACAACCAAGCCAAAAGAACC